AGGGACACCTCAACAAAATTGAGTCTATATTAGAAAGGAAGAGGGCAAATGACTTTTGGCAAGGCACTTGCACTGCCTGATGTAAGGGCCTTCTAGGCAGACAGAAGGAGCATCCACCAAGTTCATTCATATTCAAGTGCCAAGCACTAAATTATGTACTGAGGACATAAAGCACTTGAGTGTGCATCAGAATCACCCAGAGGGCTTGTTAAAGGACGGATTGCTGGTCCCATTCCCAAGTTTCTGTTTCATTAGCTATGGGGGAGATCTGAGAACTCGGCTTACTAAAAAGTGCCCAGCAGATACAGTGCTGCTTATTTGGTAGGAGGCTTTGAGAACATGTGATATATGGTGAAGAACAAGCTACCAAAGCCCCTGCCCACGTGAGCTTCCTAGTGGCAAAGATAAGTGTACGATAGAAGAAGGTGAAGGGTGTAGATGTCAAACAATGAAGTTTAAATTTATTTTGCAGACGACAAAAATTTATAGAAAACTTCTGAGCAGGGACTGACATAACTGGCTCCAGTGTTAGGAAAGTGTCTCTAATGGCAGTAGAGAAGCGATTCCATTCAGTATTTTGTCAAATATTGATTGGATTTCCTCTGTGAGAGGCCTTAGTCACAGCGGTGAGACAGGCTGATCTTCTGGGGCTGATATCCAAGTGGGAGGAGAGAGATAATCAACACGTTGATAACTCAGCAAGATATTTCAAATAGAAGTTCTGAGGCCTGTGAAATTATTTGAAATAAAACCAGGTGCTGTGATAGTAACTACGTGATGCTTTAGATAAGGGAACCCACAACCCAGGGAATAAAAGTTCCAGGCCAAGGCAGGGAGGAGTTTGTGCTCAAGGAATATAAGGTCTTTATGCTAGGAGATTAGTAAGGTAAAGGGGTAAAAAATGAGGCTGAGGATTAAACAGGTACCTGAACATGTTGGACCTTATAGGCCAAAAGAAGGCACCCAGATTCTTATTGTGTCATGGGAAACTCTTATAATTTTTAATAACTCTAGCCACTATTGGGAGAATGAATTTTATGGGATCAAAAGTAGAAAGAAGCAGGGAATAAAATTGAAAGCTTATTGCAATAATTCTGGTGAAACTATTAGAATTGGGATTTAGGAGGAGAAAGTCAAAAGGATGTATTGAAGAGTTAGGTTTTATGGGTGAAGAATCAAGTAGCTAACATTTGTTGAGCCCTTTATATGTTTAGGAAACTATGCCAAGCTCTTTAGAAACATAAACTCACTTCATCTGCTCAACATCCACATTATCTAGATGCAACTTTTCTCTCCTTTTAATTGAGCAAAGTGTGGGGCTGGTGTTAGACCCAAGGCAGTGTGGCTCCAGAGCTTCTGTGCTTATCTACTGCCCTGCAGTGCTAATAAAGTTCTTGGATAATCAAGAATTCTAGGAGAGGATGAGTTTTCTGAGACTGGAACATGACAATTCTTAAATCCCCTTAGCAACTCCATTGTAGATGTCAAGTGAGTAGTTGTATATGCGAGTCTGGAATTCAAAGGCAAATGGGGACTGGACATAGAAATTTTTGAAAATTTTGGAAATAGATATCTTAATGTTGTCAGCATGGCATGAGATTGGAGATTACCCATGGAGGAAGAATAAAGAAGTGAGTTTATCCTGGAGGCATTCCAAACTTTAGAGAAAAAGAGACAGCAAAAGATTCTAAAGAGTGACAAGAGAGTTTGGGAGAAAATCAGGAGAGCAGAGTCAAAAAAGTCAAGAAAATAATGTATTTCACCAAGGAGGACATGACCAAGTTGGTGTGATGTCTAGAAGGCTAAGAACAAACATGAGCTTTGGATATAGTTAATAGAGATCCCTGGGAACTCGGGTTATGGGACTGAAGGGCAGCCCAGACACCATCTGGGACAACTTCAGTACTCAATTATTACTTCTTTCCTAGGAACAGCTCCACTCAGGGCTGAGCGCCATGTGTGGTCATTATGTTTTTACCCTCTGTCTTGGGCCATCATATTTGATCGATGCAGGCATCTGCCCAGTTGGATCAATCAGATTTGTTTTCCTAGAAATTAGGGAAAGGAACTGAAGAAAAAGACAGGACCGAGTGTTCAGTAATTGCTTAAGTGTGGTCAGCAAACTTAACTTTCAAGAGAATTTTTTTTGTTTAAATAATCTGGAATTGTTTTTTTTTTTTATGTTTACATCCAAAAGAACTTCCATTAATGCACTTGCAACTTCTTAAGAATATATGTAAACTATATTTGTCAAACATATGCATAAACACATAATCCTATGTTTTCACTCAAGTCCTCATGAAAATACGAATTTTCGCCTACATTACAGATAAGGGAACAGTGGTTAGTAATTTACCACAGACCTCAAAGATAGAAAATGGTAATTCAAGACTTCAAGTGTATGTCTTCATGGTTCAAAATGCCACTTTCTTTTTCTCTGGGCCTCTGAGAAATAAGAATGCTTATAATAGCAATAATAATAGCCCAAACATGGAGCATTAACCATGTGCCATGCACTGGCCAAAATGCTTAACAAATATTTAATGCTATTCACCCCCAAACATGTAAGATAGGAACTACTGTTATGTCTATTTATGAGGAAACAGAGGCATAGAGCGGTTGGTTAAAACACAAAGAATAAGCATCCCTCTATACAAGCTTTCCAGCTCCTTTTTATCTCTGAAAAGGGGTATTGGGAATGTTTCTTGTAAACTTAATAAATGATTTATTCAATGACATAGACTCTGTTGAATATATTTATCAAGACTAACAATGGAAGACAAGTTCAAAGGGCCTTAAGAAGAAATTCATGGACTTCCTCCTTAATCAGGCTAGAAAATAAACACCCCACTGTTTTTATTTACTTTTAAATCTCATGAGATACAGTCGTTTTGGACCTTCAGGCCTCTGAGAATCAAAATCTTTCCAAATGGGCTATCTTGCATTCTGAGTTATGAAGTGTTAAGACCTGATCTAACTTCTCGAGAATATATAGGTCTATTGCACATAGTGAATAAATGGTGACAAGTTTACTCTTGTTCAATGTGTTCTTTATGCATTTTGTCTGTCCTTTCCTCTCTAGCCTTAAATTTTGGATCTTTACACCTCAGACTCTAAAATCCTAGACTCCAAGCTGTTGACAGGAATCCATGGAGCTCTGGGAATTCCTTTTATGAGCCCCGTGAAATACCTATGTCCAATATGTGTACTTTTTACCAGTTTCTCAAAGGAGCTTCTGATCCGCATGTTGTTAAGAACTACTCTCCTCGGGGAAACAGTACTCTGAAATATCCAGATTACAACTGCTTAAGACATATGGATAACCCACCCACCCGTCTCTAACATGTAATGAGCCCCTATCCTGTGTTCTGTCTAGCATGGAACACAGTGGAAGAGATGTCAAGGAGAGAGGCTCACTTGGCATTAGCTTTCCTTGAAAGAGCTTTCTGGCCAATGGAAGGACAGTCATACTGGTAAATAAGTTGAGAAAACCGTATTTGGTATGACAAAGTTAAGTTGCTGTAACAGAGACTCAAAAATAAGTTAGCTTAAAGACAGTCTTGTTCATGGAACAGGCACACTATGATTAGTCCAGCTCTGTGGGGCAGCTCTGCCCCTCCTGATCAATCAGGAACTCTTGTTCCTTACAAGTCATTGTTCTGCCACCCCTAGAGCCTGATGGTCTCTGCTGGGTCAAACAAGGTCAGCACCTTCATAGCTGGCACAAAGAGGAAAGGTTTTAAAGCCTGGGAGTGTCTTCTACTTACAATCCAAAAAGAGCACTTAGTCACATACTCCCGTCTGCTCCCAGACAAGCCAGGAATGTTATCTCACACTAGGGAGCCACCTGTCCAGCTATACCTTATTATAATACAGTGAACCACTTTCACTGGAAAGAAATACCAGTTGTATCACAATAAACCAAGATTTTTTCACAGAATAAAGCCCATTCTGAGGACACCAAAGAATACAGTGGCATGCTGACAATCCTGAGAGACTGTAGAAAGTTTACAGTAGGTAAGAAAAGGAAATGGGTAACCCACTTGAGAACTGCTTATTTTGCCTCATTTCCTGATGTGTAGAGAACAAGGTGGAATTTGACTCAGGAAGACCTGGATTTGAAAGGCCCAGTCCAGCACTTTTTGTCAGGATACGTGTTATGCAACTCTTATCTATAATTTAAGGTAAATGTGCTTGTAATCAAGTCTAAGAATATTCAAGATAAAGAATCAACATAATAAGTTGGTAAACATAAACCTGTATATTTATATCAACCTTAATAAAAGCTTCTTTTGGATTGAGAACTCAGTAGCTTTGGACATGGGAAGACAGCTCAGAGAAGCAGAGACAAGTTGTCCTGTCTCCATTCCACTTTTAAACAAGAGGAAACCCCAAGTACTCTTTTATTTTACTTAAGTATACTTGATTCACAATGTTAATTTCCAAGTACTCTTATGGTTTCTCTGGTAGAACTTGACTGCCTTCGACATATTTTATGTTGATTGATCATCCCCCTTTCTCCTCCACCATTTATCATGTGATATCCAAGAAGGCAGACTGTTTTAATGTCTTCAGCCCACAGAAGTGTCTACGTTCCATTTTCCATTTTCCCAGCATCAGGGTTTACCTCTTACCTCTTCTGTGATGTTCTCCACCTTTTTTCACTGACAGTTGTGCAAAATGTCACCTGCAGTTTACTGTCCTGTTGGTCTCCTAGCTATAAGCACACTAAATACATTGAATATACAGTTCGACCTGAGGTTATGTACCAGCTTTAGCGACCTGCGACTAATCTGAAACATACAAAAAAAGAATCAGATAAAATCAACTTAAATTTACAGATTGTAAACAGTACTGACCCAGACATCTTAACAAAATGCTAGAACAGAAAGCGCAAAACTCTTTTGAGTGAAAGAATAGGTGGCCCTGAAAAGGGCCTTTGGTTTTAGTAGGCTCAGGGAGATGGCCAACAGTTCAGCCACCAAAGCCATAAAGAGTGCGGCCCTGCCGCTTGAGCGCGTAGACCACGTCCATGGCGGTGACAGTCTTGCGCTTGGCGTGCTCGGTGTAGGTTACAGCGTCCCGGATCACGTTCTCCAGAAACACTTTCAACACCCCACGGGTCTCCTCATAGATAAGACCAGAGATACGCTTGACGCCACCACGTCGGGCTAAGCGACGGATAGCAGGCTTAGTGATGCCCTGGATGTTATCTCGCAGAACTTTGCGGTGGCGCTTGGCGCCACCCTTCCCCAGCCCCTTTCCACCTTTCCCACGCCCAGACATTCCGAAAGTACAGCGATCACACCCGCAGCGAAGTGATCTCCACAGCGCCACTTAGGAGTTTTATAGTAATGTGACGGACCTGTTTGAAAACTGAAAGAGCAGGGGCAGTGACCACATTCAGTTCCCACCCTTCGCTTATTTGTCCCTTGCTCAGAGCTGTGGCAAATATGAGGGGCGCCTCAAGCGACAGTGGATCCTGGAGATGGGATTTAATAAATGCTCCTATATATGGATACGTGTGTTTGTGCATCCGTACAATACGGGCAGCCGTTAAGTGGGGCAACAGATCATACACTTTCCACAAAGAAGCCTGATACTTGTTCTTCAGTCTTTCCAAAATATGAAATAATCAGTTAGTACACGCTGTTGTCCCTTATAAAATGCTTTAAATACGGTTTTAAATAAATCATATCTCTATTGTTTAAGCTTCCATTAGTTCTGTCCATTTATGTTTGGTTAACTAAGCAGAGCTCTTTGGTATGCAGGCTGGATGACCCCACAGAGGGAACTAAAAATATAAGAAGGTTACACGTTTAAGAGGTCAAGTCAGGTTAAAAATCACTGAGCGCTACATTGGAGATTTATAAATATGTATATCCCAAAGTGATAAAAACCTTGCTCTGCTGTAAGTCTAAGATTTATGGTTTGATTATATATTTAATTGTGGACAGTTTGTATCTGGCATTGTATCTGTCACCGCATTCTATTTCTGCAACTAGGTGGCATTACAGTGTCCAGTCAAGCTCTGGAGACAGCCTTCTCTACATACTAGCTTGTGACCTTGGGCAGTTTATACTCAGTTTTTTTCCTTTTATCGATAAATGTATAAGAAAGTGTAAATTATAGAGCACTTGAATTTAAAAGAGATAATCCAAATTGCTTAAAATAATATCTGTAAATAAGTAATCACTCAGCATTATTTATTGTGACATATTATAGTATCATGTCTGCTCCCAACTCCTCCACTCAAGATTCACTCCTCTAAAGTGAAAGTCTAAGTGATTATCTAATTTACTAAAACCTTCTTTTTGAGGACTCCTCAAAATAATAAACACCTAAAGATTTAATTTATGGTTAATTCCCTTGAGTTCCAGCTGACTTGTATAGCTTTGGCTTTTTCTCCATGGTCTGTGAAGAGGCCCAAGTTCATCAGAGCAGTTCCATGAGTTTACACTGCACAGAAACAAATTCCAGAATGGCGTTCTTAACCTGGGCTATATAGATGGATTCTGAACATCTGGAAACATTTATTGAGCAAAAACTCCCTTTGTCTTTACTTTATACTCCAAGTGAACCTTAGCATTTCCTCCACTTGTGAATGCAGGCAACAAACAGTGTGAGTGGCAAGACCTGTGCTATATTCATAACCATGTTGCAGTTGCAGCTGTCAATATCTCAATCTCTAATATTGTTTAAATATATTACACCTTCTAAACTGTAGTAATTCTTGGTCATATGGGTAATCTTGTTATTTAATGTATTAATAAAGAAGCACATGTTAATACCTCACCAATTTGGATTTTTGATAAATTTGATAATGGTATTTTAATACAACTGTTTTCCTTTGTAATCCTATGTATATTATCTTAAGCACTGAAAAGCATTATTCTGGGAAGGGACTCATAAGGTTTATCAGAAATACAAAGAAGTCCATGGCTGCTTCAAAATAAACATATGTTAAAGACCAACAGTCTGAGGCCTGAAGAAGAAAATCAAAGCACTTTCTACCATCAGTCTATTTCCTACTGAACATAATGCATAACCTATAATGTGTTTCCTGTAAACCTATATCCTTGCTTAAATAAGAATTGTAGTAATGAATATAAATGCTTTTCAGTTTCCCTCTCTTAAGGGAATTCTATATAAGTATGTGTAGGAGTATTATGCGTGTGTATATTCCTTAATTCTTTTACTTGGATACTTTGCCAAAGTTTATCTTCCAAAGCATGACAGAACCCTGAACCCAAGAGCTTGTGAACATTTTAATAACTGATCCTTTCTAATAAAGTCAATGTAATTAAAGCCCCATAAAGCGGTCCAACTCTATTTTATGCCTGTACCTGGACCTCCTCTGCCATCAGCTAGTGCAACACAAGCCCCCAACGACCAGGTCAAGAGGATCATTGATTATTGCTTTTGCTATTTTCCTACATAAATTTTGAATGCTTAAAGCCCCCAAATTAACTAACCCTCTAAATAGTCACAAAAAGCCATAATAAAACTTTTCCAAACTACATAATGACTTTTCTTATCAGATATTGCTGTAATTACAAGCAGCCTTTACTACAGTTCTTGTACAGAAATCCTGAAAGAGCCTGTGTTATTTCTCCTCATATGAAACAGATTTTCCAAGTAAATGTCAATGAGAATCAAGCAGTTGTTGAAGGTATGAAAAGCCAAGAATGTATAGAATGTCACTTGAGAGCAAGATATTGAAGACACAAAGAGAAGAATTTATATTTTAAACGAGACTCAAAAAGTTGTCTCTCTGACCTGTGAATCTGTAGGAGTGTCAGGGGATTTTGAAAAAGGCTGAGACCAAAGTGATAAAAACTGGAAGAAGCAACTGTAAAGGTCTCAAAGCTTGAGCTGTCCCGGTTCATTGTAGAATATAACTGGTGTGGTTCCTCCACAGGAGATTTTTAACTTTTTGCTTTCCTGAATTGTAACAAACACAACTCCGAGACAGAGCTGAGACTAGGTTGCTTTCAAGCTGGAAGCCAGCTGGGAACCAATCAGCGCGCAGTGGCGCTGTGTGTATATATAACACACACATTCTCGGTCTGGGTACTCAACTCTGAGTCTTTAATTTTTTACTGTTAGGCATCCACACCAACAACCATGTCTGAAACCGTACCTGCTGCGCCTCCTGTTACTTCTGCGGAAAAGACGCCTGTGAAGAAGGCTCGCAAGTCTGCTGGTGCCGTGAAGCGCAAGGCGTCCAGGCCCCCGGTATCCGAGCTCATCACCAAGGCTGTCGCCGCTTCTAAGGAGCGCAGCGGCGTGTCCCTGGCTGCGCTCAAGAAGGCGCTGGCAGCTGGCGGCTACGACGTGGAGAAGAACAACAGTCGGATCAAGCTGGGTCTCAAGAGCCTGGTGAGCAAGGGCACCCTGGTGCAGACCAAGGGCACGGGCGCCTCGGGCTCTTTCAAGCTCAACAAGAAGTCGGCCACCGGGGAAGCCAAGCCCAAAGCCAAGAAAGCGAGCGCGACCAACCCCAAGAAGGCTACTGGGGCAAAGAAGCCCAAGAAGGCCACAGGCTCTGCCAGTCCGAAAAAAACCGCTAAGAAGACGCCGAAGGCAAAGAAACCATTAGCAGGTACCGGGGCCGAGAAAGTGGTCAAGAGCCCGAAAAAGGTGAAGCCAGCCAAACCAAAGATGGCCAAGAGTCCAGCCAAGGCCAGAATTCATAAGCACAAGGTGGCCAAGCTTAAAGCGGTCAAGCCAAAAAAGGCGGCCCCCAAAAAGAAGTAAGAAAAAAAGACTTGAGTACCTTAAAAGCTCTTTTCAGAGCCACCCAATTAATCTTAAAGAACTTGTAACACCATTTTTGCCGGAGGCGGAGGTTGGGAGGAGTGGTTTTATTTCCTCGCTCGGAATGGAGGTCTCAGTCAGTGCACAGGAATCTTTCACAGAAAAGGGGGTTGGCTCTGAAAAGAGCCTTTGGGTTTTTCAGAGGTTGGCACTTAATCGGGAGAAACAAATCTACGCCCTCTCCCCGCGGATGCGGCGGGCCAGCTGGATGTCCTTGGGCATGATGGTGACGCGCTTGGCGTGGATGGCACACAGGTTGGTGTCCTCGAAGAGCCCCACCAGGTAGGCCTCGCACGCCTCCTGCAGCGCCATCACGGCCGAGCTCTGGAAGCGCAGATCGGTCTTGAAGTCCTGCGCGATGTCGCGCACCAGGCGCTGGAACGGCAGCTTGCGGATCAGCAGCTCCGTGGACTTCTGGTAGCGGCGGATCTCGCGCAGGGCCACCGTGCCGGGCCGGTAGCGGTGCGGCTTCTTCACGCCGCCCGTGGCCGGCGCGCTCTTGCGGGCCGCCTTGGTGGCCAGCTGCTTGCGCGGCGCCTTGCCGCCGGTGGACTTGCGAGCGGTCTGTTTAGTACGAGCCATGACAGATTTCCCGAAAGCAGCTAGCTGGTGGAAAAATGAAAGCCTGCCCCCCGCCCCCGCCTCACTAGTATATATAAAGAGTTGCGTTCTGATTGGACAAGGCCTTTGCTCCTTACGGCTCGCAGTGAAGGTATTGGTAGCGAGGTTCACTCTCCGACATCAGCCTCCCTTTGAATGGCTGTTTTCAACCCTTTCTCACCTTTATCTTCCTTATGCTGTTTCTTTACAATGTTCTTTGGCTTTTCTCCGCAGAACCTAACACAAATTATTACAATTCTTAATCTTGTTTGCAGAATAAAATTTTCAGACTTTGGTACCTGAAACTGGCTTTCTTTTGATCAACTTTTTGAAAAGACGTGTTGGATGTGATTGGCCAAGAGATTTTTATACCCTCATTCAAATGTAGTAAGGCTAATTTTACGTCAATTTCTTGTTTTCTCTTTTTAAACTCAGAGATTTTTTAAAATAACAAAATACGTTTCCTTTTATTTCCCCTTTTATATTACAGTTAAGTCGTGTTTTGGTAGATTATATTATCTATGAATTTCATTTCAGGATAGTAAAGGGGGTAGTTACAGTATTTGTTATAGAAAAAGAGTGTTGGTTATGATAGAATTGAGAACCATCAGTTTAGGGGTCCAGAGATCATATGAAAGCAGAACTCGGAAAGAATCCTGAACACTTATTTTTATCACCAATCCAGGCCCCCTGAATACACCCTCCTCTACCTTCCCCATAAGATGTAACGTGGCTTGCCCTTAAGTCTTATGATGAGCCCTTGCACTGCATTCCAAGCTATCATGCACCAGTGTCAGTTTTCTGGCTTGGGGTAAGAGCTGTGGCCACAGGAGGAGAAAGGAATCCCTACTATTAAGATGCATTGTGTTTTAAAGATATATGTAAGTTTCAGATTTTACAAAAACTAAAGAATTTACACCTATATAGCTTGTGATCTGATCATATGTCTGAGGGTTCTTTAGGGCCATATTCAAAGAGAGAGGGAGGGGGGAGAGGAAAGGAGAAAGAAAGAAAACTTTTTGGAAACTATTATTATTATTTACTATTAAGGAATCTACTTGTATGACTACCATGAATCCCAGGCTGGGTTAACAGTGAAAAGTTCTGGAGGTAACTACACCCCACTCTGGACAGTCTGGTTATAACCACGGTCTTCTCTCTACCTCAAATGAAAGCCCAGCCGCATGAGTCCTCAATCTCTGAAGTCCTCTTCATGGAAGATGCCAAAGCCAACTGTGTGAGAGGTTTTATCAGAGGAGAGGACGACTTTGTCCTCCCAGAAGACAAACCCTCTGCTTTATGAGGCAGATAGCAACTGCAAACCTGCGCAGGCCTCAATTCTTGGAGATTTTCGGAATGCACTAAAACCATTAACTCTGAATTAATTTCATGCTTGCTATTATATTAACAAATGTTTACTTTTCACTAACTATAACATTCTCACATAAAAGCACCCCACTACGTTTCACAATTTCAACTGAGCTTCGTGTAAAATGGTGTTAAGAAAAACTCAAAACTTGTAAATGGTACACAAGTGTGTCCCGTAAAGTCATGCTGAAGCCTTTGTTAAACTCTGCCTAAACAAATTCTAGCTCCAGGCTATGCAGTATTGTATTCTTTTTTTTTCTTTTTTTTTTTTATATTGGAAACAATTTATTAGGAAAAAATATGGAAGCTTTTTTTAATAACAATTTTGATAAATAAAAATGTTGACAAATCAGAGTGTATAGAGAGAATATTGGTTATTTGGGAAATTGTATCATAAAATGGATGGGCTCCACAAATTCTTCGATGTACTTGAAGAAAAGAGTGCTAAGTCAGTTTGGGCTGTTGTCACAAAGCACCATAAACGGGGCAGGGTGGGGGCTTGTAAACAACAAAAATGTATTTCTCAGTCCTGGAGGCTGGAAGTCTGAGATCTAGGTGCCGGGATCATCGTCTTCTGGTGAGGACTCTCTTCCGGGCTGCAGACTGTCAGCTTCTCATTGTGTCCGGCTGTTCGGCCACGTCCCGGTCGGGCAGCGGTAGGTCAGTGGAGCGGAGTCGGCCCGGGTCTTCTCCCCACTGGGGAGGGGCCGACCGGCACCGCGTACGAAGCGCCCTGGCGGGAGGGAGACCAGGGGGTCGGGGGTCGGTGGGGAGCTTGACTCGCAGTCACTTCCGAGGGGACGCTGAGCCCCCAGAGCTGGGGGCTGACTGGCCTCGGCACTCCCACGAGGGGGGGGGGGGGCGGGAAGG